ATGGAGGCGTTTGGATGAGGGGATCGGTGGTGACTGTTTATCTGTGGCTGTGTATGTGTGTGTGCGTGAGCCTGTAGAGTCCAACAGGTGTCCTAGACAGGGAGCAGGAAATTCAGTGCGACCTGGTTTACTAATTTTTTGACTAAAATAGTTATAATGTGACCCTAGATTACAAATAATTGTCAGTTGTTGTTTTTTTATTGATTACTCACATCATCTGTAAGCTGAACTAATACAGTTTTTAAAAGATAGATTAGAAAATCTGTCTAACTATTAGAAAATCTGGAACCTGAGGGTGCAAAACATGTTAATAATATGGAAAAATCACCTTTAAAGTTGTGCAAATTAAGTTCTTACCTATGCAGAATATTAATCAAACATTAGGCTTTAATATATGTACAGTAGGACATTTACTAATTATCTTAACAGGATATGATTGTTATTTATTGTTCTCATGATTTTTGCATATAAAATCAACCATTTTGCCTTATACAGTGTACTTTTGGCTATTTCCAAAAATACACCTGTGCAACATAAGACACACATACACAGTGTTGGAATATCTATCTCTATTCCATGCGTGTTCAATAAGAAAAGGTCTGGAGAGGTTTTTCTTCAATGTCAAAAATCGTAACAATTTATTAGATACAAATAAATAATTCGATGACAGAGCTCTGGGTTACATTACCCCAATGCAATACAAGAATTACATTCAAGAGGTTCGCAACTAACATACATTTCCTGACTTCAGCATATATACACAACCGATCTTAACAGGTGGAGTTTTGGTGTAACGTCACTTGTCAGTCATTGTTCAGTCCTCCATTGGCCGCACCTTCGACATACTTCCTCTTTTTCTACGAATTCTCTGCCCAACAACAAAGTATACATCTTTCTGTGTTCTGTGTTCAGTTTTAACGCCTCTCTTCAGACAGGAAGTTTCTGCAGAGCTGAATTTAATTTTGGACCCGCATCTATCTACTTCTGCAAAAATGCTAATTAGTATGCACAGCACTCACCCACAACATTAGAAGTTCAGTTAATATATGACCCTTACATGACCAATACAAACAATTGTTTGATTAAAAGAAAAAGAGACAAACATAATAAAAAATGGTTCCTATTATCCAATAACAGACAATGAAAATGCAGAATCATCGCCAACCAAACATGCACATTCTATACCACATAAATAACAGCAATGTTGTTTTGAACATTGTGCTTATTTTGGACACTCCAAATATCGTCAATGATTTTAGAAAATTCAATGGAGTCTTTGTTTTAGTTAGTGCTATGCAAATACTGACCTACAGTGTGCTTCTGAGGTATAAAATAAGCAGAAGCGACTGCAGTTTTGACGCAGAGAGAACGTGGTGGACACACATGTGATCAGAGTGAGGAGATAAGACACAACAGATGAATGATGTGTTTTTAATATCCCTCTCGCGGCATTATTTCTACTGGAATCAATCCAGTCATGATTAATACCGATATGGGATATTACTTGACATTTGAAATGAACTTCTGGGCCACTGAATTTGAATAATAATGATGAATTTGTCATACGATAAAGTTGTAATGTTGTCCATTCAAGCAAAACATTACATGGTTGCGATCAAAACCCTGCTGGCTTATTAACACTGCGGCGATGACAGAATTTCAGAACGCCACCCAGAGCTCTGCGTTAACCTCATTGGAACGTTTATTTTTCCACTGCTTATTCTCCCTTGAACCTGTTCCTGACTTTCATGTCTCGTATTTTCCACTCAGCTTACATTTTTGTGAGGTTTTGTTTTCAGCTTTATATATGTCGGCTGCCAAAAACACCATCCCTATGATTTCATCATCATAAAGCGTGACTGCATTACGGCATTACTATATTACAGTTCACCGACTTCCATTTAATTTATTTTAATTTAATTTATACCTCAAAGATCAGCAGACGCATGGAGCATACATATGTAAAGTGTAGTTTTCGTGTCAGTTGTCTTGATTCATGCTTCTTTTTTTAACTTTAAGAAATAGCATGTCTCTCCTCCTTTGCAGACAAGTGTTCTTGAAAGTCTTGGCTTTAAACAGCTGAGAAACTCACCGATTCCATCTTCTCACTGTCTGTGAGTTTAAGCGAGGACTTGTTCTAATATGACATATTTATATATAAAGTTTGTTTGCTGTTAAAACTATAGAAATGTCAACACTTTTTTACTTGAATAAAGCTAAAGGGTTGGCACGATGGTTCATTGGTTAGCACTGTCACCTCACCGCAAGGTCGCTGGTTTGAGTTCCGGCTGGGCCAGTTGGCGTTTCTGTGTGGAGTTTTATGTTCTCCCTGAGTAATCTCTCCGGGTGCCCCGGTTTCCCCCACAGACCAAAGATATGTACATAAGTATTCACAGCCTTTGGCATGAAGCTCTTAATTGAGCTCAGGTACATTCTGTTTCCACTGATCATCCTTCAGATGTTTCAGCAGCTTAATTAGAGTTCACCTGTGGTAAATTCTGGTGATTGGATATGACCGAAAAGGCATACACTTGTCTATATAAGGTCCCAGGGTTGACAGTGCATGTCAAAGCACAAGCCAAGCATGAGGACAAAGGAATTGTCTGTAGACCTCAGAAACAGGATTGTCTGCTCTGAAAGTTCTAATGAGCACAGTGGCCTCCATCATCTGTAAGTGGAAGATGTTTGGAACTACCAGGACTCTTCCTAGAGCTGGCCGGCCATCTAAGCTGAGTGATCAGGGAGGTGATCAATAACCCGATGGTCACTCTGTCTGAGCTCCAGCGTTCTTCTGTGGAGAGAGGAGAACCTTACAGAAGGACAACCATCTGTGGAGCACTAATTAGGCCTGTATGGTAGAGTGGCCAAGCCACTCCCTACCTGGAATTTGCCAAAAGGCATCTTAAGGACTCTCAGACCATAAGAAACAAAATTCTCTGGTTTGATGAGACTAAAATTGAACCCTTTGGAGTGAATGCCAGACATTACATTTGAAGAAAACCAGACACCGCTCATCAACCAAGCTAATACCATCCCTATAGTAAAGTATGATGGTGGCAGCATCATGCTGTGGGGACGTTTTTCAACAGCAGGAACTGGAAGACTAGTCAGGATAGAGGGAAAGATGAATGCAGCAATGTACAGAGACATCCTGAATGAAAACCTGCTTCAGAGTGCTCTTGACCTCAGACTGGGGCAATGGTTCATCTTCTAGCAGGACAATGACCCAAAGCACACTGCCAAATTATCAGTGGAGTGGCTTCACAACAACTCGATGAATGTCCTTGAGTGGCCCAACCAAAGCCCAGATCTAAATCCTATTGAACATTTCTGGTGAGATCTGAAAATGGCTGTACAGTGTTGCTTTGCATCCAACCTGATAGAGCTTGGGCGGTACTGCACAGAGGAATGGGCAAAAATTCCCAAAGACAGGTGTGCCAAGCTTGTGGCATTATATTTTAAAAGACTTGAGGCTGTAATTGCTGCTAAAGGTGGTGCAGGGCACTTGTCAATCAGGAAGCTATCATTAAAATTGGATGGCATTGGTCAGTGACATGATTCTGACTAGATTAAATGTTAAGGAAATGAACATAGTAGGCGACGCAGTGGCGCAGTAGGTAGTGCTGTCGCCTCACAGCAAGAAGGTCGCTGGGTTGCTGGTTCGATCCTCAGCTCATTTGGCATTTCTGTGTGGAGTTTGCATTTTCTCCCTGCCTTCGCGTGGGTTTCGTCCAGGTGCTCCGGTTTCCCCCCACAGTCCAAAGACATGCGGGACAGGTGAATTGGGTAGGCTAAATTGTCCATAGTGTGTGTGTGTGTGTGTGAATGTTTCCCAGAGATGGGTTGCAGCTGGAGGGGCATCCGCTGCGTAAACATGTGCTGGATGAGTTGGCGGTTCATTCCGCTGTGGCGACCCCGGATTAATAAAGGGACTAAGCCGACAAGAAAATGAATGAATGAATCTATTCTAGTAACTAAATAAGAATTAAAGTGTTGAAAACATTTTTTTTTTTTTTTTTTTAGATTTGTTTTGTTGTCCCACGTTATCAAATATGATTGATAATTTGGGACAGCATTGTTTGGGTGATCTGGGACTGCCTTCGAATGGTTAAAATATGCATTTAGAGACTTAACAGAGACTTTTAGAGACATTTAGAGAGTTTAGAGAAATTACGAAGTGACCAGATTACGAAGTAACCTGTCCCAGATGATCAAATTCAGGCAGAATTTTTTTATTTTTTGACACAAAAATGCTAATAGGTGTGGCTCATTTTTGTACAATATCTACATTATGTTTTCTTGGTTAGAAATCATCTTAGGGATTTCAGAAAAGTCTAAGATGTTGTTCTAATTAGTTAGATAGACTGTAAAACACAACACATTAAGGTAACTCAAACCATTTGATAAACCAGATCGCAACAAACCATTTAAAAAACCTAATGAGTACTGTGAACTTACTCCATTTGAGTAAACAAAGCAATTTGAGCACAGTAAACCCCAAAAAATGAAGAGAACTCAAACCAACTGAGTACAGTACAACCCAATAAGTTAAGGCAACTCAAACCGTTTAAGGAAACCGATTACTACAAACCATTTGAGTTAAACTAATCTATATGAGTACTGGGAACTTACTCCATTTAAGCTGAAGTAATGAGGTATTTAATTAACTCGTTACCTTCAACACTGAGTTCAAAACTCTTTTCAGGTGAGTAGAATTAACTTTCAGTACATTTTGAGTTAACTACACTCATTTGATTTGATAAAGTTGATTGTCGAGTTTTACAGTGTAGACATTGAAATACAGAGCTGAAGTCAATATGCGCAAAAACTGTCCCAAATTACTTGAATTCACCCTGCATGCTCAAACTGATGGAAAGAAAATGCCATCATTTTAAACGAAATCTCTTAAGCATCAATCTCTGCAGTCTGAGCCAGTAGGCTAGAACGGGGGCGGATCTAAACACAGACATCCTATAAAAAGAAGGTATCCCACATCATGCAACGCCAGCTTCACCAACACTCACACGGGCACGAGTCCTCCTCTCCTCTCTGCTGCTCTGATTTTTTTTCTCTTAGTGCAGCATCCTGGTGCCTTTTACATTCCTTCAGTTTTTTGTGTATTTTAAATTGTATTGCATTTCAAAGCTCCTCTGCAACAGCTATATACTTTTTTTCCCACATTTGATGTGTGATGGACACTGTTGAGGGGAGTTTATGCCTCTTTTAAGCCGAAGTGCACTGATCAAAGCGCATACAGTAGTGGTTTAACAAATATTTCGCCAAGAAAGCAGCACGTTCTTGTTCAGAGCAAGAAAACAGACTGAAAGGATGCTCACTGTTACGAGGAGTCGGTGCTGTTGGATGTTGCCGCTGATCGTCGCGTTTGTGCGGATGGGAGAAACTCAGGGGATCGAGAGCCAGGCTCAGGTGAACTCCATCAAATCTCTGGAGCCGCAGCCCGCCGCCGCTAACCGCTCCGGGGCTTCATACAGCGGCATCCCGAAGAAGAGCAACATCCCCGCTCAGGTAAACCTCATTCATTCACCAGTCAACTCCAAAAGCTTTTCATCACCACTTATTTATGATTAATGAATCTTTCTGTCGTGTTGCTTTGTACAAATTTGTTGATTTAGCTTGCGTTAGCTCTGAGGAGACAAACAGTTTGTCCAAAGTAAGTCTCACACATCTAAGATTAAACACGTGTTTTCCTACTAAAATTGTCCTACTAAATAAAAAATGTATTCTAAGTAGTTAAATATGTCGAGTTAATTTGTTATTGTCGATGTGATAAACAGAAATCACACTTTACATGAATAATGATGTATTAGTATAGACTAAACATTGCTTTATCATGAATTAGTGACCTAATCATGAACTAATATTCAGGCTAAGAGTTCATTATTAAATAATGGCTTCCTTATTAAACCTTCTTGTTAGTACATGTTGTTAATTAATGTGTGAATTGTCATTTAAAATGTAACCAATATGAACCGATGAGCTGTTAATGTATGATTATGTCATGATTTTACTTAGAGGGGCACATTATCATTAACTCATGCTGTACTACTTATGAACTCCTGTGTTTAAAGCTATACCAGAACACTTGTATATTGTTTATTCAGTGTAAATGAACTCGACAGAAGTTCAGAAGGAGTTCATAAGTTGTTAAGAATGGGTTAATGATGTTGTGCCCCTCCAAGTAAAGTCATGATATAATTATACATAAACATGTCATGAGACCATAATGGTTCAATTATTCATTAACTTATGTGGTAATTAATACATTAATTAACATGCATAAACAAGTGATTAAGGTAGTAATCATGTGAATCATGTTGAAGTTAAAGTTAGTTCATGATTAGCGCATGCATTAACTCATCATTAGTCCGTAATAAAGCAATGTTTAGTTTACATATTAATGCATCATTATTCAAGTGCGGTTATTGTATTATGTGTCACCCAGAAATCTGTATAGCGGCAAACTGTTGTTGCTAGAGTATACATCCTCATGGATTTTTTTATTGATTAAAAATATTTTTTTATGATGGGCATACTTAATTCATTTTCAAATCAGACTTTACTGAGCGCTTCTGTACCAGGGGTAGATCTCGAAAAAATCTGAAAGTATTGGTTGGGAGGTTTAATTCTCATAATTTGATTTGTTGTGCAGGTTTTAAGGTGTATATCCAACCAAACTAGCTTGGCTGTGGAGTCTTAAGCCCTTTACAAATCCAGTTTAATCTAGTTACATCATTTTATCATTGATTTAAAAAAAGCTTTTTAATCTAACTTTTTCCTCATTAGTCTACTTACTTCCTTTTCAAATCAGACATTATTGAGTGTTTTACTTGTATATTACACTGCAAAACGTCTTATTTTGCTTACCTGTCCATAAAAGGCTTAAGGGCTTGACATATTGTTGATTTACCTTGATTACATCTCTTACTGTACGTTTAAACTATTACCCTGACAAGCACCATGTGATATACATTGCTCATCTACTATAAAAAAAGTGTGTACAAGGCTCTAACATTTGCATTTTTTCAGCATATTATTATTATTATTATTAAATACAGTTGAGTGCTGTTCTTTAAACACAAAGCAAATCTCAGATTCACAGCAAAGTTCAAGATTTCAGATATTTTAAATGCAAAATTATATGCATGTTCAGTGTAAACGCCACAATACTGATGATTCAGATTAAAGTTCTCTTCGCTTTTGGGTGTTTCCCCTCAGATTAGCTGTTTTTAATTGAAAGCAGATGCAAGTTATTGGACAATTCGGTGTAGAAAGGGGATGTGATGGGAGTTTTCTCCCTCTCGCTTCCTCTTGGATTGGAAATATCTCTCAGTTCCCTGCCAGAGCCTCATCTAAACAATTGCTCTCAACTGCACCATCTCCATAAACGCAGGTGGTCTGGATGATCAGACCGCTGCCATACATGTGGAAACCACTACAGTCCAATATTAGTTAAATGTCATGCTACATTTAGCTGCTTATCCAAATGTAGATTGCGAACAACTTTCTAGATTGCTAACAGAGCGGCTGTTGTCTCATTTGGAAGTTTCCAGTTGCAGATGTTGCAGATATTGTGGACAGATCCCAACTTTCTGTACCTGGGGCGGATGTTGAAATCTGAAAGGATTGGTCGGGAGATTTAATTATGTTTATGAATTATAACAGAATTAAAAACAAAAACAAAAAAACAAGGCAAACTTGTTCTGCATATTTTTAGATGATTTAAGGTCTAACTTGGCTGTGGAGTCATGACATTATACAACACCAGTTTAATCTGAGTGTTTCCTGGATAAGAGTTGGATGTTTTGCTGCATAATGTTTATTAATTGAACAAGGAAGTGTGTAGTTGTGTGTAGATGATATACACATAGGGTTGTGTCGGTTATGTGTACCTTCATTCATAGCTATTTTTTGCTGATAGTAACATTTAGAATTGCCACAAAATCCGCATTATTTGCATGAATAATAATGCATGAATAATAATGAAGTCATTTTTGCCAACAGTGATCAGATTACACAACCAAAGTCATACTAGATGAATTATGCTGAATTATAATAGCATTAGATACAGACAAGTGTCTACTCGTTGTTTGAAACTAAGGTGTGCATATGAATGTAATTTTATTATTGTTTATATATATATATATATATACATATATATATATATATATATATATATATATATATATATATATATATATATATATATATATTTTTTTTTTTTTTTAAAATCTATCTTTAGTATGAAGAGCTCTGCTGTGACGACGTGAATTTTCCTTTGGGATTAATAAAGTCTAACAAACAAACAAAACAGTTTAGAGATAGCAAAACAATTACACTATTTCACATAGGTCATGTAGATGCAAATTTATTTCAGATGTAGCTTTGAATTTGTAGTTCTAGAGCCCTCTTATATTTAAAATCAATCACATTTAATAACCTATTAACATATTTGTACAGTTAACAGTGATATTGACTGATTAGCATTTTTGTTTTTTGTTACAACCCAAATACATTTGGACAAAGCCAACGGCTGGGTTAAGTTTATAAATGGAAAAATTTGTTCATTTTCCTTCGGGTTAGTCCCTTATTTGTCAGGGGTCACCACAGTGGAGTGAACCGCCAACTATTCAGGCAGGAATACACTCTCGCTTTCACACACACACACACACACACACACACACACACACTACTGCCAGTTTAGTCCATCCAATTTACTTATAGCGCATGTCTTTGGACTGAAACCGGAGCACCTGGAGAAAATCCACACCAACACGGGGAGAACATCAAAACTCCACAACAAAATGCCAACTTGTTCTGCCAGGACTCCTTTATGCTGTTAGGTGACAGTGCTTACCACTGTGCCACCCATTTTTGTTGATTTGTAAAAACCCAAATAAATATGGCAAAGCTAATAGCTGGGTAAAGTTCAAAAATAAAACGAATGCTACCTTCTTTTACTTAAAACAACTTGTTTTTAAATGTGTTATATTCTGACAAAATCTGTCATTTATTTCATGGTGTTAAAAGCGATTAGTTACTTTAAAAAAGTAGAGCAACAAGTTGATTTTACTTAACGTCAGTAACATTGACTTAACCTTTATAAGTAAACTAACCACTTAATACAGTGTGCAATGCTACTATCAACCTTTGTTCAAACTTTTATAGGCAGTACTTTACAAACATATAATTTAGACAAGTGGTTCCCAAAGTTGGGGTCGGAACCCCCGGAGGTCACGGGACAATGAGGTTGGTTTGCTTGTCTATTTCCAAAAATCTAATTCATTTTTATTAAACTATTAGAATGACCATATTTTATCCATAGCTCCTGAAGAACATAATAGAAGTTAATAGTAACATTGTTAAAATTATTTTAGCCTTAGTTGCTTTTTTTGTAACTTGTGGGTAAAAAAAACACGCAAACACTGGGAGAACATGCAAACTCCACAGAAATGCCAACAGACCCAGCCGAGCCTCGAATCAGTGTCCTTCTTAACATTGTTAACATGTTAAAAATAAACATTGTAAAAGTAACATGCAAATAAAAAGCCATCAGCCTTTCAATTATTTTGCGAACCCTGTGGGGGATTACGTTATATTAAAGACAAAGCAAAAGCGTCAGATGCAGCAGATTGATTTTACGGCACAGGTTAAACTTTCTAACACCATAAGCGACACTCTTGTACATTAAAAATAAACACAGGCCACAACTGAACATAAAGGATAGTCTCCAAGTGGCGATCTCCGAAATTAGACAATGAGTAGACTTGGGCCCAATGGTTATGTGTGCGCCATTGTGTGCTAGGTTGATATATTTATAACCACCTCAATGAATGCTTTGGTCTGAGTATTTGGAATATTCTGGAAACTACTTCAAAACTCTAAACTGTTAGTCTAAATCAGGGGTTCCCAAACTTTTCAACCCACAACCCTGAAAAATAACAACGCCAGTGACCCGCGACCCCCAATATTCTCTATTTTCAATAGGTTTGGATCATTCAAATTCAAATGAACTTATTGTAGTAGTAGTGATGGATCGTTCTTGAATGATTCGTTCATTTTGAACGAATCTTCACTGTGACTGGGAAACTACGAGTCCTTTCAGGTAGTGATTCGTTCATCCGCACGTGCGCACATTTGTGTAGGTGGTATCGTTCATTTCAAGTCTTTTGAGTCGTTCATCGCGGAAAGGCAGAAGCCAATCATATGCGTTTAGAGCTGGAAAAAGAATTGATCCGTTCAACTCTCGAGTCCTCAGGTTTGAATTCTGTCACGTGATGAACGAACGAATCAAGAACCAATAGACTCGAAAGGTGATTTTATTAGCATGGCTCCTATCGGCTCAGACTGTGTACATTGGTTAAGATTATATGTATGTGACTGTCAGTGTAACGTGAACGAACCACTGACATTTAAAGGCATGAAGAGATGAGCTGAGCAAAGAGACAACAATACCTTCATAGGCAAAAGAGCAGGTAAACATTGAATTATTATTTTCTCCTTCTTAT